GGGTTTGAGTTTTTAGCTCAAAAGTGTCAGTCAAATACATGTGATTGACTAAATGCTTCCAAAAATCATTACAGCGAATGTAGCTGGAGTCAACGTTTTGACAAGGACCTTTTCTTCGTCAAGGCGACGCCGTGGCCCTGACGAGGAAGGATGAACTTGCCGAAACTCTGTTTCCAGCGATGTTCTCTCTTGAAAAACTTCTGGTCGCTTAAAGTCTCTTCGTGCTTCCGAGCTTCACCCTCGTTTGGTACTGAAGTTCCGTGAGAAAACTATGTGCGCCTTCATGACAAACGTGACTGGGTCAACTATTATGTGTACTACTCGTGACCGATAATAATTTTCGCATTAGTTTGGATATTTTAGGTTGATTGTTTGCTCACTTTTTCCATGTGTCAGTCGTTAATTATAAATGCTTTATGAATTGACACTTTCACAATAGGGGTCTGTCTGTTTTTGTTTCATGGCAAACGTGGAAATAAAGGCTTATTTTAATTGTGCTGATAGAGTTTAGTCTCATAGAGAAACCGGTCAGCTTCACTTTCACCACTTCAGAAAAGAGGAACGAAATGTTTTTTTAAATATGGTAAACAAGTCTTTACGAATGGCCACATCGCCCAAGCAGCCAGCGGACGTCGAAAAGGCAAAAGCGCATTCCACTTGATTGCGGAGTGGTTAAGCAAGGCTCCCTCGGCAACCTTGTTCCTCTCAATGTTTCGCCTTTTCCTTCTATTTGGTGACCTCACCAGCGACGTCATAAAAGAAATGTTATGTTTGTGATTTACTTCTAGTAGGATGCCCGCCAGCCGCCAGTGTAAAACTAGCGCTGCCGCTGCGTATCAGGATGCGAGAGCAAATACATGGGAGGTATAGTGAGTTTCCACTCCCTGCTGCAGACACTAAGTCAAAGCTGTATTTTGCCAACATTGTGCAACCAGACAGAACATCCTATGTTACTATTAGGGACTGTTACAGAATTTGGATGAGCCTGGCGTTGTAAATTGTTTGTTGAACCTCCCGTAGTAATGACACGCCATCAAAAGACTTCAAGATCGACGAAGAACAGAATGTTCAGTGAAATAGCACATGCTCTTTGACATAGATGCGGGGCTTAACGTCTTTTTCACTTGGCACCTTTAAGCGTCGAAGTGTGCTTTTCACACACATGGGGCCAAATTATAGATTTCATGAAAGTCGTTGTGTTACATGGTTGGCGTAATACACGCATTATTCTTCCTGTCGCCATCATCACACACGCACAGCATTGCCGTGCACAGTATTACAAACAAGAGGATACCAGCTCAAGCTGGATTCTATGTACTAAACTGATATTATCTTTAAGTTCAATTTAGGTAAGAATTTTTCTCTGCTTGCCTTTCCATCATTAGACGTAGATAATAACAACCGGAGATCACCTGACTTGCCCACGCTGGTTGAAGAATGGAAAGGCGTCCAGTTCCATCCGGCTCAGCTCGTCAATTACTCGGAGTCCGCCAGCGTCACGGCAGAAATGCCGACCAGCTCGGTAGCTACCAGAGGTCTCATCTTGCCAGTTGTGAGTATTCCGAAAATGAATGTCAGTGTCAATTTCGTGCGAAACATCGTTCGACTCACAGAGGCGACCGCACGAGAAGAGTGTACGCATCTTATCATGCTATTCCCGCAAACAACGTTTGTTCTGAAAGTCACAACACGTGCATGTGCTGTGGAATATTGATAGCAAGTAGCCAATTAAGGTTATAAGCAGCACGACTGCTCAGAACCTTATATGGCTCAGGGCATCGGCTGCGAAAGCACGTGCATATCCGGTATTTTTGGCCCAGTTACTGAAGAAGCAAGTAGTAATCATGAATGCCTAAAAGGAAAGTGGCTGACTTACTTCAACTATGTTCACCTTATTTGCAGTCCTAATTATTGCGCGTGTTTCTATGCATGTTCACTGTTACAGGTGGTATCCCTGCTGTACTACGACAATGTGAAAGGCCACTTGGGACAACCGGCACCAGCGGGATACCCCGTCGTGTGCGTCCCCGGTAACATGAGCTTGTAGTTTTGCACGACGTGCGCATTGAATCATATTTGCACACACCACCACCCCAACACACACACACACACACACACACACACACACACACACACACACACACACACACACCACACACAACACACACACACACACACACACACACACACACACACACACACACACACACACACACACACACACACCCCACACACACAACACGACACACACACACACACACACACACACACACACACACACACCACACACACACACACACACACACACACACACACACACACACACACACACACACACACACACACACACACACACACACACACACACACACACACACACACACACACACACACACACACACACACACACACACACACACACACACACACACACACACACACACACACACACACGCACACGCGCGCGCACGCACGCACGCACGCACACACGCACACACGCACACAGAGAGAGAGAGAGAGAGAGAGAGAGAGAGAGAGAGAGAGAAGGACAGACAAACAGACAGACAGACACACAAGCGCCCAGGCATACACACGCAAAACCGAGGGTCTGCTATGAATTTAACTTTGTGCACGATGAGCCAGCTGGTTCATGCAGTCACTTCTTGCAGCTGTGCGACACGCATCACCCAGGCTTTGCCACTCTGGGTGCCAGTTGCAAAGGATCCACGAGGAACGGTCCTCCGAGCAACCTCTTCTACACGTGGGAGGCAGGAGCCACAGACGACGACGGGTCGGTCTCATTTGAAACCATCTCCCAGGAGACGCCCTTTGCAGCCGTCCAGCATCGGGTGAGCAGCAGAGACACACCGTTTCATCACAGCCCTGAGGATGTTGAAGAAAAGAAATGAAAAAAAAAAGTGCGGCAGGAACGTCTAGTCTTCCAATTATCCATAAAATGTTAAAGGAAGAAAGTAAAAAAACATTGCGCTTCCGCTTATATACCAATTTTTTTTTTAGAAATCACAAACGTTGCTCGTACTTCGAGATATTGATTATCGAAATTCAAGGGCGAAAGAGAAACTAATCGCGACCAGCAAAAATCGATAGCTGATGCCAACAGGATGATCAGCTTTTACTCTTGCGGTTAATTATTCGTGGCCACGATGAATCACTGCGTGTAACTCCTCCGCACACACAGTGCGATATGCAAAGAAGCTCGTGTTTCGAGCTGGTAGAAATGAATCCAGGGTTCTTCACTATGATTGAAAACCGAAGCTAGCAGTTCATAAGAGCTATCTGAACCCCATGAAACCTATTTCCTCAGACAAAAAAAAATGTCGGTAGATCCCACGTATACCTGAGAATCGACGTTATGCGAAGCATGCGGAAAGGTGATCATATCGCATTTTTTTTTATTGAGCGACACGCGATGAAATGTTGCTAAGTATATGTACAAATGTTGCACGCACAGACGTATGTTGAAGAGTTGCAGACGTGGATATAATCAGCTGTTTGCACTTGCGCAACGACGCCAACTGGAACATGCGTATTACAAACACGAGAAGCTGATGTGAAGCGGTGATTCGCGCGAGAATGTTGGCCCTGGACATTGCTACGTAAATAAACTTCAGCGCATGGCAACTAACCACAATTGACTTTAACTCGACGTGACGGCTGTATGAAAGGAGTACATATGTAATGTGTATAAAATTGGCTGGGCAGCACTGCAACCACTACTGACGTTTCACGAATATAAGCGTTTATTTGAAAAGTATTTCCGAAACCTAGCGTAGCTCTGTGGTAGAGTGCTTCAATGTCACGCAGAATTACTTGGTTCGATTCAATCTGGAATTCTGACATGTATTCTATGCCTTCTTTGGGTCGACGCTACCGATGTCTGGTATTGCTTAACGCTCACGTGTTAAAATTGCCCATGAGTGTTCTCGTCATTCCTGGGTAGATACGAAGTGTCAATCACCTGTGGGACATACCCGCATATCAGCGGCACATACCCACGCGTGAGTATGTGCCTATGTGTGGCTCGAAGTGTTTGGCGACGTATGCGAAGGGATTGTGGCATTATTCATGTCCTGACCAGCGCGTCATATTAATCGAACCATCTTACTTTCTCATGTTAATTTTTATTCACACCAAGTTAGGGGGTTGCCCATGGGAGCACTGAAACGTAAGCGGCCAGATAGATAGATAGATAGATACGTTCAAAGTCGTAGTAGTTCGCTAAGAAACGCTTCGAATGAAAAAAAAACAGACAATGCTAAATTTTACATCTTAGAAGAACTCGCGCTTTTGCAATTGCGCCTCCTGTTACAATCGAACATATCGCGGAAAATATTGTAGACAACCCTGAAAATGCCTCAGTCATTCGCGAAGCATAGACCGGAGAATTTTCCCCAAACTAAAACTGATTTATCTTTTTTTCCTCGCTCTCTCGCTCTCAAGAGGTCATCCAGTAATAGACTGTCACAACTGCCGCATTGACTCGAGCAGAATCGTTGTCTTCCCGCAGGTCCTTGACAGTATGTACATCTCAAGCGGATCTACCGTGAGATGCATCGTTCAAGAAACACGAAACGCTTCAGGTCACCGACTGACTTTTAGCGAGCCTGTGGTTATCAGCGGCTCCCAAGGTGCGTGTGGTGCACTTCATATAGCGTATAATTGAGTTCACAATAAATTAATTAGCCTAACGAGATCTCCATTCCAGTTCTATTTGTATAACTTGGCCGTTTAACTAACACAAACGGGCACTAAAGCGTAGTCCCTTTCAGGGATGTTCACAGTCCAGAAGCACAGTGTTCACGACTTATGGTACATTTACCACAGCAGTGTTCCGAAAATTAGCCTACCATAGAAGCTTGCTTGACGAATCAACAAATCGAGGTATACAATTATTGGCAGACATTCAGATTTTTTAAATAATAGACAGTGCGTGTAATCAGCCTAATAAGAAATATAATCTATACAAGTATTAACAAGCGATGTCCCAATGTGAAATGTGAACGTGACGTAATTATTTACGTGAGCAAAAAATAATCAAAACTCAAGTTTGTTTTCCAAACCATGCTAAGTACCCATTCTGTAGTTCATAGAGACCTATACTTTAAACGAATTTCCTCGTATTATGTAATGCAGGTATCTGTGTCGGTGACAAGCCACACGGGCAGGATGTCACTGCCTCCATGGAATACCTGAACGGCACCGGTCCAGCAGCACAAGCTGGTCGCCTGCACATTACTGTTCGCATAAGACACCGAGTGTGTACATGCGTGCTGTTTACTTTGCCAAATATAGTCACTAATTACATACGTACGTGCAAACCCTTCTGGTTCGCACGTACGTATGGTCTGGTCAAAAGTTCCCTGGTCACTTTTCCATGTATGGCTATGGAAGCGAGGCCTGGTGCGTACAAACTCTAATGATTTGAACGTAGGTATGTAATCAGTATCATTCCTGTGTTTACTCTATGAACCTACCGATGTTCATTATCGTTTTTTTAGGGGCGAAGCTCCTTAGGGCGTGGGCTGTGCGTCCCCTGTATGTAGCCACCTCTAGTTTAGTTCTTGCAGTGTTCACTAGATGGCGGTACCGTCCCCTGTATGTAGCCCCCTCTAGTTTAGTTCTTGCAGTGTTCCCTAGATGGCGGTACCGTCTCCTGTATGTAGCCACCTCTCGTTTAGTTATTGTAGTGTTTACTAGATGGTGGTACTTGTAGCTGATGATGAAAAGATGCAAGATGTTATAAACTAGAAAGCGGTACTTGTAGTTGATGAAAGACGCGAGATCTTATAAAATAGGAATAATGTCACATATGGCGCGTGTCATTGGTTGAAGGCAATCGTTCGATTTAGTGCAGCGACGTACGCTAGGGGGAGCGATGTAATAAAATCGAGTGGGCAAAATGTACAGAGGATTCATGGTTTACCAGGCTTACCTCCGGAGCTTCACCCACTCATCATCATTCACTTCGTGGATATGGCGGCACTTTTTTTTTATTTTAGCGGCGCAGCTGCGTAAGTTTAGAGAAGCTTTGTTGGTCGTGAACACAAATTATCATCATGAACAACCGTGAGCTATCTTCGCCCTCTTCGGGCTCGCCCCCAAGACACGTGCGCCGATTTGTCCCTTTGCGGGCTGATGGAATAACTCTGATAGATGAGATAACGAGCACACAAGGAAAAATAGAGTGAGGGAGAAAGAAAAGACGATAGAAATAGAATTTTTTTGGCGAGAGGGATTAGAACCTGCGTACCTACGATCCTAAGACGCTCGTTGTACCCACTCGGCTACCCAGGCACATATAGTAGAGCATAGCATAGCCTTTGTAGTATATTATAGCAAGGCTGTGAGGAAGAGGATGGAGAATAAAGGAATGCATATTCCTGGATAGTGATAGATAAGTCAGGTTGACAAAGAGGAAAAAGAGGAGAGAAGGGAGGAAATCATAGTATAGCCCTAATGATATATTGTAGTGTAGCGGTGGGATTGGATAAAGAATAAGGACGACAAAGCGAGAGGGTGAAGCATAGCATAGCCCAGTATAGTATAATGGTTGGAAAGGAAAATGAGCGTGAGGACGAGGAGGGAAACGGGAAGGGGAACGCCACCAGCTTTTGTTTTCTCTGTTTTAGCGCCATACTATAGTGCCACCACTAGTAACTGCCCCATTTCCCTTCCCTCTTCTTTTTGGGATAGTGCGTGAGCAGCAATGTTGACGCAGCATCATTGGATGAAATATTTTTGTATGCGGAGGAATATATAGTTACCCGCGGAAGCAGGGGTTTCAGAGGCCCCGGGGCTTCTTGAAGCTGCAGCCGCGAGTCAGCTATAATTGTTAGCTTGCAGTGCTGCTGGTGTTGTGCCCATATTTCTAATTACTTGCTGTACTTTTAATCGGCAGAAAGTCTTCACCTTTTGTCATCATTACCTTTCGCTTCAAAAGCTACCCGCGATGCATGCCACAATCCTTTTCAGTTGTTTAATACATGTAGCTGTATTCGTTCCCGTGACACCAAGCAATCGTCAGTCGTCGCGCCAGTGCGTGACTATACTAAATGGAGTAGTGCACATCCCGTGGATTCATAAATGAATATATTGGCGATTTATTTTTTCGTTTCTTTATTGAAAGGACTCCATGCTGCCACTGATTTCGACGCATCCGCTACCCAGTGCGGAGCAACTCTTCGGAAACGTTGTCTCGCAAAAGCAGCACATCTGCTCCAATGTAGCCGGCCCCGGAGACCATGGCTTGGCGTTTGCTGCCTTCATGAAATCTACAATTGGTATGTGCGTGCTTATTGTTCTTTGTAGTGAAGTTACGTGTCATGACCTGGATGAGTTTGTTTTTCTTTGTCCGATGAAGTGTTCTGCTGGTTCTGTGAAAAACGAACACAAAGCACAGTTCGTGCAACACGCAGTGTCCATTCATGAAGGCCGTGCTTAAATACCATGTACCGTGGTTTCAGGTGCTCCTAGAATAGGAGAGGTGAGGCCTTATCAAAGTGACTCAGCGATCCGCGGCTCCTCTGCTGTGTCGCTGTACCACCACCTCGATTTGAACCAATGCCTATGGACGTTCGAGGCCATCATTTCTCTGAAGGATGCAGTTGGAGTTTGTGGCGGTGTCCTGCTAGAAGACTTCAAGGTGCGCAAATTCACGAAGGATGTTCACATAAACGACTGAGAATTTGAAACCGAAGCGCAACATTTCAGCTTCAAAAGATGTGTGCTTGAATAGCAAAAGTTTCGGAACAGAGTGAAGCGTTGGTTAGAGGTGCCTGGTAACTCTTGACTATCAGCATTCTGGCGCAGAATTTGCATCACACCCAAAAGGAGGGAACATATGAAACTACACTAATGCTGGTGTTTCTTAGCAGTCTCTCTTGACAAATGCTGTAAATGTCTGCCTGTGCAAGCCACTGCAGACGTTTCAAAATTTCAAAGGAGGATAGCGAACCATCGAACTGAAGGTACATTCAGAAATTGTTATGCTCGTTTAGCGAAAATAACTTAATGCTAGTGAGCTTGCTACCTTTGTGATGTGTTGCGCGCTGGAAATAGCTTGCTGTTAATGCTGCGGCGTCATTTTCTAAAATAGCAAGCGACATCCAACAAAGAAATATTTTCGTTGTTGCTTGACCACAAAGACCAGGTTATACTAATGTGCGCACCGAAGGATGTTTTTGCCATTGAGGTATTTTGAGAGTTGGGTGTTCATCGGCCAGTCTAACAATTGTCACGAGAAAACAACTGCTGAGAGTTGAAACCAAGCACGCTTCATGGTACCATTTTATATATTTCTCCATATAAAAATTTATACAAACTCTATGTTTTATTGCTACACTTGACTTCCCCAGCATCCAAGCCTCTGTGATAAGTAGAGGCCGGATTTTTAGGCACTAAAAAGCTTGTTTCAGGCCCCAAAAGTAGACAAATAAAGCACCACTTTAGGCCTCCAGAATTAAATATATAGGCACAAAAATTTCACACTAATTCAAATAATTCCAAACAAAAACGAGCGCAACGTTTATCTACGACAGGAAGCGAGAAATGTTATTGTTTATGATAGCACAAAGGTTCCAACGGTTGAACATATACGATACATTTCTGGCGTAGTTAGCAGAACACGGTCTTTACTTTTATTGTCTAGCATGAGCTGGGTCTCTTTTCAACGTGGCAGAGAGGGGCAGCAAAGAGGCAGATAGCTAAACCACTAAACGATCAGAAGGGAGGGTTTCCTTGTATTAGCAGGTTCCAATCGCATCTGGTCAGTTGATTTCCTGCAGGTGGACACCTTAAATGGCTCCTCACTTGGCATTTCGAGCTGACAAGTGTAATGCATGCACTGAGCTCTCGAGATCAGGTCTCCCAAATTTTATAACGCTACGTATTGCTGAAAGACGTAAAATTCCAGACTTTATGCTGCTTGTTCTTCTTCTAGTGAGCGCGCGCCTCATCAAGGAGGGGCTGACGTACAAAGCAATGATCCTGCACTTACGTCGCTCCTGTACGTAGACATTCGAGCTCTGGCTTCACTAACTGTAGGCTCTTAGTCAGGTTTTAGTTGAATACTGATTATGTCCAGAAAACCAGACAAAAAATGTCCCCTCTCCATCTGAGCATGCGCTGATGCCATAGAGGAGACTTCTTGCTCTACTTCTTGGAGCTCTTTTACGGTGATATCAACGATGGCAAAGCCACATCTAGCATAGCCATTTGTTTGTTCCTCAAAAATAAGGCACCTATATACGCACTCAGGAAGATTGGCCAAGAATGAGTAGTTGAAAATTTGAAAGGCGCTTGCTTGTGCCGTGAGAGGTCTTCTTCCTCTTGTTCTTTGTGCGGCTTAATGATGATAGAAATCAATAGAAATGAAATGAAAAAAAAAACACTTGAAAAACTAGAAAAGAGAGAAGGCAAGAAAGAGAGGAGCAAAAAGCCGCCAGATCAGCACAGTCACAGCGATAGGTGGAAGAGCGGGCTTTCGGAGCCTTTGTTAAACCCTGTCTGAGTAACTGCTACAAGCACGCTTGCAGGAACTCCCTAGGCCATAAATCATCATAATTTTTGCGTAGTAGAGAGGCATTCACTAGGCAGTACGTCATCATTTTCCGCAGAAGCGTGGTACCCATTACGTCTTCTTGCAAAGAATTCGTTCATGCTGTGTCTGAAGAACACGAAGAGTTATGCCAGAAACTTTATACTATATAACCTCAATTATTCTAAAATTTTATACAAATTCATTAAACCACTAATCATTCCCCCACAGTAGGTATACGTCACAGTTAGTAGATGATCAAGAATATGCTTCTGTGATGGAAGTCGATGACTCGCTCATTACGCAATTTGCATTGTGCGACGCCTCGTTGTTTCTTTGCTGTTCTAAAACGCCTTATTACTATAAGGCGGTTCCTTTCCCGACTTCAAGGCTTCCTAAGGCTAGTTCGCAACAGAGTTCTAATGGTGTAGCTCTGTGGTAGAATACTGGGCTGGCACGCATGGGACCTATAGGTTCCAATCCCATTGTGTCCTTGGTGTTTCATTTATGGCAGTGACTAAGGTGACGGGGCCCGTCAGTGCAGTATACTATCGTTAAAGTGAGGGGGCCCATCACCGTAATAGAATAGTAACAGTAACGGTGCCCGTCATAATAAGGATGCAGCTAAAGTGACGGCCCCGTCATCGTAATGGAACGACTGCGGTGACGGGGCCCGTCACCGTAGTGGAATGATAAAAATGAAGGGGCCCGTTGCCGTAAATTTGTGGTCGTTTTTGACACCACCGTATAGCTGTTCTGGTGGCGTAAAGGCTTGACGCGCAGTTGGGGAAGTGGTTGTCACGCAGGTCGTCAGTTTGAATACCCGTATTCGAATGTTTTACCCCCGCCGCGGTGGTCTAGTGGCTAAGGTACTCGGCTGCTGATCTGAAGTTGGAATCCCGGCTGTGGCGGCTGCATTTCCGATGGAGGCGGAAATGTTGTAGGCCCGTGTGCTCAGATTTGCGTGCACGTTAAAGAAACCTAGGTGGTCGAAATTTTCGGAGCCTTCCGCTATGGCGTCTCTCATAATCATATCGTGGTTTTGCGACGTTGAAACCCACATAGCAATCAATCAAATCGAATGTTTAACTTTTTTGCATTCGGTTTTTCAAGATAATGCTGCGAGAAAATCATGTCGCTGTCTGCGGCGGTTATTAGACAGCCCTACCGTGTGGATTTCGTGACGCAGTGTCGTTGGTGTGTGACTTCAGGGCGAATCGAGTTTTTTTTATTTTCTTTTCTGAGTGCTTTTTTAAAGTATTGTTACTTGTTTTTAAATTATAATAGTGTTCATTTGTTGAGAATATAAATATCAACTTTCTTTTACGTTCAACGTGGAATGAAGACCTTTCCCGATGATTTACGATTGATACTGCGCTGGGTGAGCAGATTCCGTTGTATGCGAGCAAATCAGCCTTATTATCGCACTTGACAACCACCCTTGGCCGGATTTGCGTTCCTTTGCATTGATACCATAGCTCCAACTAATAATTTCTTACACAGTGATATTTCTAAATCAATCCGTTTCGCGTATTGTCCGCGTCGCTGTATGAAGGTGACTTGTGGGCTGATTCCAAATGACGTGCAGGTCAACATAGAATATGTTCCGACCCTCAGGAGTGTGTGGCTGCACAGTGTGTTTCAATTAGTCCGAAAACCACATTACATATGACTACAATACATGTAGCTCCGACTCGGGGCCTACTTTGACTGAAATCTCACACAAAGACTTATCCATGTGATCAAATCGGCTCCTGCAAACGAGGGGATATGCACGTTGCTCTTGTTTCATGATTGTGTGCCATGTAAACGTATATAGACATTCGAGCTCTCTGAGGTGCAGTAGATACTCGCACGGTGGTCTGGTCTCTTGGGCTGTCTTCCCATCCTGAGACGACGCTTGTCTTGCGAGAGCGAAATGTATTTCGTATCGTTCTCGGCGATTAAAATGCGACCGTGCCGATGTCAGGGACTTGACTGGTCGTCTGGATGCTTTAATTTGCAAATTAAAAGCGCTGGCATGATGTGGCTTCGGGCTTGCTAAACCACAACGTGTGACCTAGTCGATGAAACGAGTATGCAAGAATGAACTCTAGCAGCGTCGATGTATCCTACAACGAGGAAAGGTAGCCGTAGGGAGCTTGAACGCGCAGCAGTAAAGAAAAAAATAAACAAATCTTCTCCTGTCCCATCAGCAAGAGCCCAAACAGCAGCACTATGTCAAGGCCCGTCACTATAGGCAGCTTTGTTCAAAGCGGCCACCTCATAATTGCTTCATTACGGAGCAGCCTCGATGTGGTATGTGTCTGTGCACGCGCTTCTAATGGTGATAGTGAAAACTCGTTTACACTTGCAGTATTTCAGGGGATGTCGCGGTGGGGGCAGTTCAGATCAGAATTCTGCGGTACGAGCTACCAATCAGCGAGCCGGGTCCAACAGCGCAAACCTCGACTCAGCTGATCGCCCAGGTTCTCGCTCATCGCTCCACTGTAGGATGCTGCCTTTAAAATAGACAACCTTACTCGAAACAATATTGAAAGCAGAAAAGAAAGAGAGAAGTTCAGATGCTCAGCACGACTCGAACTGAAATTGCACAGATACAAGGTATACCCACTGCACCTGAAAAAATCAACGTGGCGAGATAACAAGCGGCACAAACAGTGACGCGGTTTTCTTGCAAGAAAGCAAAAACAAAAACAAAATTACAACTCCTTCAAAGCAGTAACGTCAATATTGTCATATCACAATTAACACAATAAAAATAAAAATAGCAAAAAAAGTTTTGAACTGAAGACCTGAGCATGACTGCATCCTCAACTGTGCGTCAAACCACAGCGCCAACAGAACAGCTAGCGGTGGCGACTAAAAAGGCTACAAATTCACAGCAACGGGCCCCCTCGCCATAGTCATTGCTTCACGGTGACGTGGCCCGTCGCTATAGATACATCGCTATTATGACGGGCCCGTCACCGTAATCACGAATACACTACGCTGACGGGCCCTCTCACTTTAACGATAATGCTGCGCTGATGGGCCCCGTCAGTGTAGTCACAAATACACTACCCTATTTTCGCGCGATCGTGGTTACGGACACCGGCGGCAGACAA